ATGTCGCTACTCATGTACATGTAGCCAGGCCCAAGTGTTCTATTCTCTGTGAACTTCCTGAAACAACTAGATACCTCCTTCCCCTCCTATCTGAATGACCCCTCTCTGTGTATCAATGGGTGAGAGTGAGAGAGAGCGATGCCCCATTGGCACACAAAAATTTAATGATGATTTAAAGAAACTCCTGCCGTCTCTTGGTGAGATTGTATTTCCTCCCTTCACTGTTTTGTAGGCGACGTGTGCGTCTCTCAGTAGATATAGTACCTACAAGACAGTAGTCCACCTCTCTCACTTACCTCCCACTCTCACACCTATTGTAACTACTACGCCCATATTGAGATTAAATCGAAATGTTGTGTCCACAGCTGCAGCAATCTAACACATGCAGCTGGAGGATTGGTAAAGTATACCGTGAATTGTGTAGAACCCTCTCTAGCTCTTGTGTTAGATATACGTGCTGCCACGTCTGCATCGCTATCCTACCTTTCGCTCAGAGCCTTGTACGCGATATGCGCTAAGAAATTATAGCATACATTCTCTCTGGAAGACTGTCCTGTATGATAGTTAAGAATACTCTGTGTAAATGTGTGTGAAACCATCTTCTGCATCGTCCAGTCTTGTTGTCCTTATTATCACACCCTCCTCCCTCCCTCCCTTCCATTTAACCTAACATTTAACTCTAAAAACCTAAATCCAAATCTCCACATACCCCTACTCCACTTTCTTCTAATACAATTGTGCTCTCCGGCCGCTGATGCTTTATAAAACCAGATCCTACAGATGTAAAAAGACTGGCAATGTTGCTCATCCCTTTCCTCTTGAAAAAGCAGAGACATGGTACATGTATGTCACTACAGTCTGACAACTGGAATCATAACTTAGTTCCCTCCTGCCGTCTACGGAATACAGGCACCTTCGCCGCCATGTGTTCTCTACGCTCATAGCCAACAGTGTAGAGAAGCGCCGACCTCTCGCGAAGAAACAGTAGTGTCGCATGATGATTTGACTATTGGTTCGCTGATATCGTGTTCTAGCAGCTTCTCATGTACGGCGATAGCTCGAGAGAATTGCGGCTCGGTCGCTCGAGAGTATGAATTAGATATTGCATTAAACAAGGCGCGATCAATGCTCCTGAGAGGATGTATAACCCTATGATATTCTCAGAAACCTAAGGGCACGGGCCTGATAAACCCTTTGTTGGCACTGTATAATCTCAGTTACATGAGGGCGTTCTTCCTATTCCTGGACCAACTAGTCTCATTGTGCCTATCTAAGCCCAACGCCTGATAACATTCTAGGCCGATCTTTAACTAGTTGTCTTTGTAAAACTTTTGAATAATGATGTATATAACAGGACTGTATACAGATTCAGGGGATCAACTTCCCCCTACCTCTATGGGTTCATGGAAGGTAAAAGTGTGCAGAACTGTATTTCCACCTCTCACCTGCACGCACCTCTACTAGTTTTACCACTTTTCTTGATCTAAAATCTGCATTTGATATTTCGAAAGAACCGTTATATCATGAACTAGCCAAAATGAATATTGGTGGTAGCTTACTCTGCTGGATAATAGGATACCTGTCAATAGAGTATCCTCTGTCCTTTACAAGGCTTCAGAAAGTGATTCTAAAGAATGTCTTTAGGGGTACACGCAGGGAGGAGTTCTTAGTCCCATGCTATTTAATATTCTGATTAATGCTCTCCTAAATGTCTACCTGCCTCACCTAAACATATAGCTATAAGCTATGCTGATGATATCATGATCCATACAACAGAGCATAAGAAGAATGTGCATACTTTGATTCTGAAGTTCAAGCTCCTCGCGTCGTAAATCTACTTAGGGCCTGCTACTGTTGCGTTTCTTCTCTAAACTTAAGATATTAAATCGACGATAGAAACGACCTCACTCTACCTCACCAACGCATAGAAGTAGCCAGTGCGTGAACTCAGTGATCTCTCGCTGTGTCCTGTACTCGAGACTCAAATCTCTACTGTGAAGCTACTAGCGAGGCGTCGAATGACTGTCTTACCTCAAATACGCAACTCTCTCGCCGATACGCAGCTTTCAATTAAATGAAACGCTATTCACCTAATATTCTCTTGTGTAGCTGTTGATGCTCGTCTGTGTCTCACAGAGACTACCACCTCTGTTATACGGCTGCCTTAATTTCGCCGAGAAAGCTGAGATATACTCTTATGTACATTCGCTCTCTCATTTTCGTAGGCAATGATAATCTGATTTATGTCGAATCATGTCTTTATCCGTGTCTGTGATGAGTCTGTGCATATCTATCACTCTCGATGCCTTGTGAGTAAACGCGCGAAATTAGAGCTTATGCTCGAGAAATGATCTTGCGTCTCTCAGTGTATAACATCACAGTAGATTACGTGAAGTCTAATGTTCTACTCGCGTCCCTTAGATGAAAGCGCGCTGCCGACTCAACCTGTATCGTGTTAAATCCGCAAGTCTTCGGCAGTGCTTCGACCTAAATGTTCCAGACGTACAGATACCTGCGGCTCCTGTGCGACTCTCGTAAGCTCTAGAGCGAGTACCCTCAGGAGATCATAGCTTATTCACACGAGAGACTATACTGCCACTCGCCTGATACCCTAGCGTGTGAAAGTGTAACAGACATCACGATCGCTCATGGATTCCTGCCGGTGTAGGAAAACGATGCCTCTGCTCCTCTGCCTCTCATTGATGATGAAGTCTCCTCATAACCTGCATGTAACTAGTCATTCAGACTGAGATCGCAATACGACGTACGATCATGACTCATTCAGCTCGCCCTCTACCTGCACTCCCCTCCCCCCCTCCCCCCCCACCCCAACTCCCGCTAATATCCATCTTCAATCAGCGCTCGCTCTTCTACCACACTCTACACACCTCTCATCCCAACTCTTACGTCTGCACCAAATAAACACATTCTACTCTCTCCCACACTCGCTCTATCTCTGCGGCTCTCTACAACCCGCTGGTCGATGCACTCACTCTCATCCTTCCATCCTCGCCCTAAACCGCTCTACCATATCACACTCGCCCTCATCCCGTCACCCTGTACCCCCCCTCCTCCGCACACATTCTCCGTACCCTGTGTACATCCCATCCGCGTCCACTCCACCCCTTCACGCGCAAACAGGAATAGCTAACGGTACGTTCTCGCGCGCTTAATCTGTGTGCCAGCATCCTACAAGTCCCTCAGAAGCTCATTGCCTAATAATCCCTCCTTACATCTCTTGTTGAGCAACTGCTCAAGAAGAAATTCTCACATAGTAGCCGTTCCGATCAGAAAACAAGTTATCACAAAGTTATATACACTGATGGATCTAAACAGAGTATTCTCGGAGGCTGCATTGCTCTTGTTTGCCACCTCCCTAGTTAAGAACGATAATTAAATTTGTTGAGTTAGGCATAAGAATTAACAAAACTGGGCGGTCTTCACTGGCAAACTGAATGTTTGCAATCCTATGGCGCTGAACAGCTAACCTTGACACTGAGCTTGACTCTATCATCATTACTGATTCTATGTCATCATGAAGGCTCTGGCTCATATAATGACTCCACACATGATCATTGGGAAGCAGGGATAGATACTCAAAAATTAGGGACAAGATTAAGTACAAATGCTGTGGATCCATCACACATTGGATTACTCATTCTGATAATGTTGTATGTTAGCAAGAAGAGTATCGAGATGGAGATATGTAGATATAAACTTTGGTATAACTGTGTCTAGATTAGGAATACATATTAGGAGGAAGTAAAATAATGAAAATGATTGTTATGGAATGAGTTAGACAGCTGAGTAGATCTATAACCCACTATGATATCAGAACGTAGATAAGTATGTTTATGGAGCAACTTGAATGTGACTGCCCCAGGACATGAACATAGTGTCTTGAAAGTGGTGTACGAGACGTTCTTGTGCTGAGCCGTTAAGATGAGCTAACGTTCTTCGCGCTCGCCTATTGGGCCCAGAACCCATCAGGCATGTTGCGATTCTCGTATACTGTCAGAATTTGCTTAAACTTATGTTATGCCAGTTATCGCGCTCCACTCATCTCCTCTGTAATCGCCTATGTCGCGTGTCTAATTGTGTCCAGATGATCATTCTGATGCTATCTCACCACTCTGTGCGAGATAAGCTCTCGATGTATTATCAGTACCTACTGATCGCACATCGAGACACTAGCCCTCTATCTCATCTTCTAAGTCGACGAGTAAGCGTGACAATATCTTGTGTTCTAAGAGGCTCAATACCTGCCTTCTCTATCTGCTGTCCTCCATCTGTATACAAAGCCGCGAGTCGCTCCTTTAGAGCTCGTATGCTCGTTATGTGTCTCACTCACACGTATGTTGTGACTCGTGAACCTGTCTAGATGTAACCCCTTCCTGGGGCCTAGTTCTAGGCCTTTTGTGTATCCATATGCTCTCGCGACTACCGTCCATATGTGAGAGAGTGCTCATGTGGGTTTGACAGCATTAAACAGTAGTCTAATCTTTCGGCCGTGTGCAAAATCTAAAATCTAAAAATCATATTCTAACAACTTTCGGTCCTCTAGCTCTATCACCTCTTTTCAGATCTGATATTTTTAGGAATTATAAAAATGCTCTTCAACAACACAATCACTGACAGTCATATCACACAATGCTTTTAAAAACATCAAAATGATTTATGAAAAAAAATATAATTGGGCTGATTTCGTCCCATTCCCCAGGCCCAGCATGACCCCGAGTTTAGCGCTTCCTCAAAATATATTAATAATAATAATTAATAATAATATAATAATAATATAATTAATATTAATAATTATAATGATGACCTCACCACTAATAACATTCCCCGGCAGAGTGAGGGGAGGGGGTCCACAAATGAACTCACTTCAGCGACAATTAATATCACCAGCCACAGCTTGTTGAAGAAAATAAAGGAAAAAACAATAACCATCCTGTATAACTAATCGTTCAACTTAGATTCCAAAATTAGCTTAAACTTGCCCATAACGGAAGGAGCTTCTTGCTAATTAATCTCTCGGTACTCTGTGTGACGATGCCCCTCGTGAGGGACTTGTCGCTGCCCTCGTGAGGGACTTCTGACGCTGCCCCCCCCGTGAGGGACTTGGACGCTGCCCTCGTGAGGGACTCTGACGCTGACCTCGTGAGGGACTCTGACGATGCCCCCTCGTGATGGACTCCTGACGCTGCCCCTCGTGATGGGACTCTGACGCTGCCCCTTCGTGAGGGACTCTGGACGCTGCCCCCCGTGAGGGACTCTGACGCTGCCCCTCGTGAGGGGACTCTGACGCACCCCGTGAGGGACTCTGGCGTGCCCCTCGTGAGGGACTCTGACGCTGCCCCCCGTGGGGGACTCGTCGCTGCCCCGTGATGGACTCTGACGCTGCCCCGTGATGGACTCTGACGCTTGACCTCGTGATGGACTCCGCGCTGCCCCCGTGAGGGACTTGACGCTGCCCCCGAGTGAGGGGACTCTTGCTCAGGGAAACTGAGAGTTATCATCCTTTTTCTTGGATCGAACCTGTTTATCTTTCCTAGGAGCTAAACAATCACCCTACAGGTTTAGACTCCCTTGAATGATTAAAGAATAATAATTAATAATGTGACTCTAATGACTTTAGTTAAGGTGAAGATGAGAAAAATATAATGGACTGATTCTGATTAATCGTACACGAGGTTTTACATCACATTTATGTTAAATTGTATTTATAATCGACAAAATTCAAATTGCATTAATATTATACCGTGTAGGTTTACAAAGGTAATATTATAACTTAATATCCCTGTAATACTTCAAGGAGATATTAAATGTGCAGAGTTAATCCCGCTCCATAATAATGTGTCCATAACAAATGATGGTTCTGTGTCAACAAGGTCGTAATTGTGATGAATGGATTTGTAAATCCGACTGTTTGAGATTGAGACACTTATGCAACAATATGGGGATCTTATTCAGGAAATGTTCGCCACAGAGTGGCTTCATCAGTCCATACAAAGTAGAAGGGTGTAAGGAGGAGAGGGAGTTGGGTAATCTGGTACCTCAGTCTGGAGTCGATGTGTTCAGTCCATCAATCATGTAGATTGTACAGCATAGGGCGTGGACGTGGATTATATACTGTAGTCAGGTGAGGCGAGCAGGGGAGGCGGGGTCATAGTGTGTACCATCCACTAGTCGATGTAGGTCATTCGTTCAAAGGTTGACAAGTGTTGAAAATTCTTCTGTACAGGATCCCATGTCAGGCACTGCCAGCACTCATGGGATCTTTGGTACAAAGAATTCTGCAACACTTGTCCAAGACCTACTTCGACTAGTGGATGGGTTCCAACTATAAACCCCGCTTCCTCCTGCTTCGCCTCACATGACTACCCAGTATATAATAGCCGTCTACGGCCCTATGCTGTACAATCTACAAGATTGATGGACCTGAACACATTCGACTCCCAGCTGAGGGACTGATTTATCAAACTCCCTCTCCTTACACCCTCTCTTACTTTGTATTGGACTGATGAAAGCCACCTCTGTGGCGACGAAACGTTTTCCTGGAATAAAGAATTCCATATGTGCATAGTGTCTCAATCTTCAAGGTCTGTAATTGTATCAGCGAGGCTTAATTATATTACAACACGATTTTTATATACTCTCTATTTTTATTTTCAATAGATACGAATTACTTTTAAAAAGTCTCCTACGACTGATTCATAGGTAAGACAAAGTAATGTTGATTAATTCCTAATAAGTTAAGGTAAAAATTGTACTTTAAAAGACACAGTGATACGTTCAGCAAAAATATACATGGTGAATTCAGTTGAGTATACGTTAATTATTTTTTGGCAATAACAAGCAAAAATAATTAATTAAAAACAATAAATAAACAATATTCCTTTTATAAATGCCGTCTTTACCATGATTGAATGCTAATTAGTGGGAAACCTTAATTATAAGACCAATTTTTATTTTAATCATGGAGAAGCAATACACCCGTAGGGGTATATAGCACTTTTTGGGGAATAGAAGGCATTCAGGTTCAATCCCAAGAAGGGGAGGATAAGTCCAGCTCCTTGGATCAAGAGCCCCTTACCGCCATCAAGGCACCTCCTTTCAGAGGTACAAAGATCCACATTAAAAGTTACTGTGAAAAAATTATTTCATCTGCGAGTGAATGAAGCCACCACGAGACTTGACGGGTTTACACCTTAATATTTGCTGAAGGAATGATTACCTCATCTTTTATATATAGTTATATTCTTCCTATTATGTCCTTGAATTTATATTGATAAAGCCACTGAAACGCCTACAAATAAAGATACCCAGATGTTGCACATGTGTCTAATTCTTCAATATCTGCACTAAGTTGCTTCACGTCACAGATGTAGTGAAACAACTGGCGGTGAAAATCGAAAGTTAAGAATTTCTTGCATGTACACCACCTGGTACTAATCCACAGCAGTTTGAAGATCAGTTATTGAAAACAAAGGTCTTCCTAGAAACCCTGATCAAGCCAGTCACTACTAGTGAGACTGATACCAGTGAAGCTATGTGAAACTTTTTTTTTCCTTGGTTATGTGCTGCGTCACTGCTCATGTGTGTGGTGTCATCCAGCATGACTTGTGATCTGATAACTGAGAAGTTTCACAGTCACTAGAGTCACAGTGACTGCATGCAGGACCCTGACCGTCTCTGGCAGTCTGCCTGTTGCTTCACTTTCAAGAAATCTCACAGGAATCTGCATATGTAACACGAGAACGAACACTGCAACAGATCTACTGGTCCATGCTAGGCAGGTCCAACTCACACTCACTCATGTACCCGCTCAACCTACATTTAAAGAATCCAAAGTTCTTGCCTCATTGGCGCAACCTGGGAGTTTGTTCCACTCATTTACAACTCTATTGCCACCCAGTACTTACCTATATCCTCTTATGGTACTCATGTTACTGTGTTACTGATTATCCCGTAGAGGTAAATGACAGCTTTAATGACTACCTGCCCGCCAACAGCCATTAAATCCTGAGTTCTAGTGTCCATCATGGCAGTTCCAGTGAAAGAGAATTTCCTCATTTGGTTGTAAATTGGTGATCCAGATGAATGTACAGGCCGAGGGAGAGAATTATATCATTATAATCCGAGAAGACAACAAGGTGCTACAGATGTACCAAAATAAAACTTTATTTGATTGCCTTTGCTAACAACATTGTTTTCATTATTTTATAACCTATCTAGATTTTTATATCACGAAGACAATATTAAGAAATATATAACAGACAAACGTATGATTTCCACGAATTTCCTGAGGATATTTTGAGAAACTGGAACCAATTAATATTTCCACGGTGATCACTGAGTAGTTTTTACGGTGAGTGAATGTGTTCACGGTTAATGATCATCAAAGTAACACCTGATACATTCCAGCTAATAATGACTCCAAACTCAGACAAGTTTCTCGCACTCTGAGGGACTTACCTGCCAAGTGCTCAGTCACAATATGCTCAGTTGCTAGTCCTTATTAACCATTATTATTATTAGTATTCATAAGAGAAACGTTAAATCCATAGGCATCATACACAGCTTGAGGGAAATGAAGGAAATCAGACTCGATCCAAGAAAAGAAGATCAGGTCCAATTCTTTGGATCAAGAGCCCCCCCCCCCCGCACCAGCGTCAAGGAATCTCATTTGCTAACATGTATAAATATATGCTATTCAAATGAGCCATGTATGAAGAGGGGTGCCGTGATGGATCTGAAGGGCTCGTGATCCAAGGAATTTGACTTACCCCCCTTCCTTCGATCAAACCTAATTACCTTTCATTCCAGGAACTGCGGTGTCAGACTGTATACATACTCTGTGTCAGCCTGACTGTGTTACATACCTGTTGTCAGCCTGACTGTAACATACCTGTGTCAGTCTGTATACATACTGTGTGTCAGCCTGACTGTATACATTACCTGTGTCAGCCTGACTGTAAACATACCTGTGTCAGTCTGTATACATACCTGTGTGTCAGCCTGACTGTGTACATACCTGTGTCAGTCTGACTGTAAATATACCTGTGTCAGTCTGTATACATACCTGTGTGTCAGCCTGACTGCATACTCAGACGGACACCATAACCTCTGCGGGGTTTAACATGTCTTCATGACTATATTCACAATACCTGTCTCTTGACCTTAACGTTCACTTCACTCACATTTTCTCCTCTATAGTTAAAATATTACAATTTAAAGGAATTCTGTCTTAAAACAATTATTTGGCACATTATAAAAATAAGATTTTCCGATTTAGAATCCTTTTTTCTCGTAAATGTAATTGGTTGGTAAATCGTAAAGCTTAAAAACACTTTTATTTTCTGTTAGAACCATCTTGCGACAGACTATTGTATTAGGTAAGATTATTAGTTGGAGTATATTGTCTGTTATAAGGAAATGTTTTTTTTTAACTTGGTTATATTTCGCGAGACGATCATCGATGGACCTAAATTATTTGGAGATAAATTAATAAAGCTTAATATTCGAAGCCTCAGAAACCGAGTCACTGAAAGAAATGCCTTCATTAATGTTAATATACTCTTGCACAGAAGCCAAACGTTCATGACCACAAGTAAGCACTCTTCCAAATGGATCATGAAAACTGGAACTGACACTTCCTCGTACCATGGCAAAATTTCCAAATCACTATCTCTTTTCCCCAAAGAAACTATTAGATCGCAAGCTTCCTCTTGAAGCCAAGCATAATGCTTTAATTTGTACTGATATTTTAGCGTTGATGGTTGTGTTCACCAGCTTACTGGTGCAGGTGGTAATGCCACTGTTGTTAAACACACAACCATAGCTCATACATACAAATTAAAGCATGCAGCGACAACTGGGCTTCTAACCTACAAACTGAACTGTTCGTCATACTTATTTAATTCATATATATTATAGTGATCTATCATTCATAAATGTTGTTACCTCAATGAGGTGTCAAGTATGGCACTCGTGTCAGAATCTAGACATAAGGTACGGAAGAAATGTAAGAGTAGAGCCAAAGCACACGTTTTGTGGATTCTCTCTCACACTGGTCTTCAGATACATAGTATAACTGGTGAACTAGCTAAGACTTATGCCTTTAAGGAGGGACTAGTTGCAACATTGAGGTGTCAGCTAGTAGTTTGAGAACAATGAATCTAAAAGAACTTTGAATTTCATTAACTTGTGACAGAGGAAGATTGACAGTAGTCAGTCCATCTATCATCACCATCACGCAAGAGGAGCCACATCTAACAAAATCAACAGATTCTTGGGTGTCACTACTGCCAGGTTTCGGCTGGTACTTGGGTTACAGGTATCTCTGGGAGTTTGCACTACCAGTTGATGTACCGTAGACATAACCAAATGTAAACTTTGTCAAAGGAACTAATGTTGCTCTCTGCGTATATTATGTTCTCAGAATTCAGAAACAAACTAACTTACAAATGTTCAAGAAATGTCAGTATTTTATCCATTGTGGCATATAACCAGCAAT